AATCTCTGGCGCGTCTCAGCCCGCTCGCCTCCCGCCTCCTCGCTCCCCCTCCAGCTCCGCGGGCTCCGTGCGCCTCTCCCTCTCCCTCCCGGTCCTCCCGCTGCCCGTCTCCTCCACCGCCCGCCTCTCGCCACTGCCTCCCGTCTGCTCTCCCGCACGGCAGCCTCGGTCTCTTTCTCCCTCTCTCCTTTGAAAACTGATCTTTGGCTCTTAGTGTGAAAGTGATTTGAATTTGGCTCGGCGGCGCTCTGCGCCTGCGCTCAGCCTCTGGCATGCTGGCTCCTTCCAAGCAGCTGTTTTGGGTTTGAAATTCCAACATGGCAGAGGCTGCAGTCCGTCTTCCCTTCAAAAACTTGGAATGATTTCAAATCATAGGCACCTTCACTTAACCCCGGCTTCCATTCATCAGCAAACACATCGGATCGATGCTACGCTAACCTATCGGGTTCTCGCTCCACGCGTTCAGGTAAGAGGAGCCTCGTAGTTTTCCACCATCTGTTTAAATTTGTTTTTGTTTTATTTTTAAAGAATATAAATAGACCCAAGACCTGTAATCAAAAGAGATCTCCGAGTTGTGCCGTAAACGTGAAATTCAATTTGCATTCGTTCTATTCCGTACGCCAACCTGCTGTCTAATTTCTCTGTACAAAGTAGCCTGAAACATTATAATGCACATTTTTGCTGCTTAATCATTGTAACAATAGTACGGGATTAAGACTTCGCGATTGCAAGAATCTCGTTTTTTGCTATGTTGGGCTTACTTATTACTATCTTTTTACTTCAAAAATAAAAACAGAAGAAAGCGGAGCCTTAGGGTGGGGCTAGACTTTCTTCGGGAACTAACTTCTAAGTAAATAAGAAGTGTAAATAAGAATCTTGCACACACACAAAAAGTTGAGGTTAAATTACAATCTCGTGGCTGGGGGGACGGGAAAAATGTCAGAAGATCGGTTGCAGAAAAATGTAAGCACATCGTCTTGGAGGGGGTACAGCGTGGTGGGCGTATTGTTGGCAAGGAACGGGAGAGAAAGATGTATAATTTAATGGTATATACAATCCACTGATCCTATTACCGTCCTCCCCGGAGCTCTTGTTAGTTTCAATGGGAGTGAGTGAAATTGACATGGACTTGCATTCCTGGTCATGTGCTTTTTTTCCTTTCTTTCTTCTCCTGTGATCTGAGATCCCCTTTTTGTTGATGTTGCTTTCCCCCTTAATTATATGCATGTAGGTTAAATGAATACCTGACGAAAGGGCCCACGTTTCAAGGCAGTGACATTTGATAGCTGAGAGGAAAAGTGGCTTTAATGAAAAGCAACCTTTGGAATTCCTGCTTGTGAGAAATCCAATTCAGCTTTTTGTGCTGCCAGCAAGAAATGATCAGTAGCACCAGTGTTTATGGTATGTCAGTTTTGGAATTTACTTCCTTTGCATCTAAATAGGAAAGACAAATTAAATAGCGTGATAAAACCACTGAAGACTGTTTGGGAAACAGATGCTGATGATACGCTATTGCTTTACAAATATATATTTTAAATTTGAATCTGTCACCTTGCTTTTTTGTATTTGCTATCACTTGTTTATATATTTCAGTTTTGATTAATAATATTACTTGAGTCCACTTTTATCAGTTTTAGCTGTAATCCTGGAGTTGCATTTTACTAGTAAGGCACTATATAACGACTGAAGTCAAATGATATGTAAATTAGTTAAACTCAGTGTGGGTTTTTTGGGGGGAAGGGCTGGGTGGAGAGGGAAGAGGGCGGGAATGTGGCGAAAGATTGCTAACTAATGAAAAAAAGATTATATATACATATATATATATGTACACACACAAGCCTAGGTGAAAAAATTTTTTCTCAACCTATTAATGCAATTTGACTATCTGTTCTCTTCACGATTGTACTTTGTGGAGTAATCAGTTCCGTGTGATTTTGCCTTTGAGGGGGGGAGTGGAGGCATATCTTTTAAATGAAAATAAAATATATATTTTGATTGTTCAAAGTCCTTCGTGTCTTAGAAGGGACAGTGGCAGTTTTTTCCCCTCTTGCCATTCACTTGTCTGCCTGTCAGCGCTTTTTACTTTTAACCTGTGACAGAATTAAATAATCAGCCACTGAAATTGACTTCATTTGAAATCGCTCTTTTTCTTTACAAAAAAGAAAAAGGTCAGTTAAATGGAGTGAGAGCAGGTTTTCAATAGCTCTTGTGGCCGTGCCGTGCGTACACTTTGTGGTATTCAATTAGGACTAAGAGGGAAAAACAACAGCAACAAAAAGATGGTAAAGTGTTTTGCATAACCGAAGGATGTGTCTGCTTTAAACTGTTGTTGTTGTTGTTGTTGTTGTTACATTTACCACACCACCAAGAATTTCTCCGGAAAAGAGAGAAGGAAAGAGAATAGGAAAGAAGGAAATGGGAGGGCAAAGCTGCCGGGAGCCTGTAGTGTGGCCATGGTCCCTGCTCCCTCCTAACACAGATGTGAATACGAGGAAAGGACTTCAAGACCCGTTGCGTGACACACACTTCTGGCTGGACTCTGGTGACTGGAGCTAAACACACACCACTCTTACACCATAGGAAGGATTTGATTGAATTTTGCATTTGGAACTTGTTGACTTTGAAACGATCAATAAGAAGACTGTTTATTTTAGATGCACATAATTTGCCCTGAGAAATGTTTTAAGGAGGAGAGAGCACAGCTTTTTTCCCCCGGAGCTGTTGGAGCGAATGGGATTGCCAGATGGGCGATTTCCCTCTGTGATGTTAAAGCTGTAATATATATTCAGAGCAGATTGGGCTGCTGCCTGTGATGAGGAGGATATTACATTTATAAATTTTAAATCGGAGCTCGGACAATGTGCTGACAGCAGAAATTGGATGGTTTGACTGTGCACCGTATTGATACTTAAATGTGATTTCTGAGTAGTAGTAGTAATAATAATTGCAGTAATCTGAAAAAAAACTCTACCGAGGCATTCATATAATTCATAACACTTAACAGCAACTAAGTGTGTAAACTGCACTCCTCAAGTCTCTGTTTACTATTAAATATTAGCCACATAATTTTTTCTGTGTGCTTATATGCCGGATGTGCAGATGATGTTCACAAGGAGTTTTGTTGTCATAACTAGAATTTGGTGTGTACGTATACACTCTTGTATATAATGGTAAAGTAATGTTAGTGGCTCCTGTTTTCTAATTCTATTACTCTGTGATTATTTTTAGCTTTTGTTTATCTCAACTGTGTGGCCTAAAGGTACCAGAGCTGAAAACCTGAAAGGCTAGAAAGTGGGCAAGTGCTTATACTCTGGCAGCTCTGCTGTTGCAAATTAAAAGTGTGTTGTGGTCAGGAAATGAAAGCTACAATGTCTCTTTTGAACAAGTCGTTTATCAAGAGAAACATCTATCAGGGACTGCCTTGTCACATTGATCCTCTAAAAGTTAGGTCTGAGGTGGAAGCTGCTTTGATGTTTTTGATCCTAAATTTAATACAACAGGAAAAAAAAAAAAAGCGAAGATATTTTGACCAGTATAGATTTTTTCAAAAAATATTTCCTGGAACCAACAAAACCTATTTATTAGTGTTGTACTACGTGTGAACTTTTCTAGCCATCACAGTTGAAAGGTTGAAGGGAAAATCCTAGGCTTTATAAATTGATGATATAAAAGTACACATTTATTATACATTCAGTTATGACTGGCTTCTTGGTTGATATGAATATTTTACAAATAGATTGTTCAAAAGGAAAATTATTTTGAAAGAATATGAAGAGTCAGTTTTTATTCATTTAAATTTTAGACTTCTCTTCTTCTCTCTTTTACTTCTTTATTCCTGTTTCCTATCTTCATTTTATCTGTGAAAAATTCGCTTTAATTTGAGAAAGAAACAGTTTTTTTTCATGTAAAAACTGTTCCCCCAAACATGCTTTCTCACATCATCGCTATTGTTTATAAACTCTGCTTGTGGATAGCTGCTAGCAGTATAAACTACATAGACTCACAAGTCCTTTGGAATTTCAGCTTTAAAAGAGCAGTATCAGATTAAACATGTCATGTACTATTGAATACTGATTATATTGAATGCATTATTCAAAATTTTAAAGGTATTGTTAAAAAATGACAAAGTGGTCACTCCCCCCCCCAAAATATGTTGTGAAACATTTAAAGGCAGCCTGCTTTATTTTTGGAGGCAAAGATAAGAAAGAAGTATTCTTTCTTTAAATAGAATTTTTGGACACTCGCTTTATGTTACTGGTGGCTGATTGCTAGTTCGTATAGATCTATTTGAATAAGCAGAGAAGTGTATGGTGGGAGTTTAAGAAGTATAATACTTGCTAATTAATCATGTCTGAAATGAAAGAATCATAGCAGGGTAATAAAAAATCTCATTGTTGTTTTCCTGGAAGAGAGTAAGACTTCTGTTTGGAAGCTGTACATGTGAGTTGACTTGCTTTTCTTTTCTCCTCAAAAGATTGCTTATAGATGGACTTATTTTAAGAAACATATTTTAGGGAGATTTTTTTTTCCTGACTATACAATGTGTGAGATTCTGATATCTTCCCAGTGAAAACATACATTTTTATATAGTTATATTTAATATTCCTGCAGCCTCATTTCCAGTGCTATTTTTTTTCCATGAGTGGTATATCATTTTTGGTTGTTTTCACTGATGTTAGTCAGAAACTTTGAAAATGTTTTGCAGGCAGCTACTTTTGGTAGACATAGAAAAGAGCAGAAATTCATTAATTAGTTTCAGATAATAAATGAGTGTGACTGGGGGGTGGGGGGAGAAAATAAGTAGTATTTCCCAGAATCCATAGAAACAATCCGTATTATTACTTACCATTTCTACAGTAGTTTAGAATACTGTATGAGCCTCCTGAAAAAATAAATGAATAATTTCATTACCCGTAAATTATTTTTTCCCCCTGAGTTTCAGGTTGTCACCTTTTAGAATTTAGTATTTTGTTTAGATTCTTCATAGATGCAGATCCAGGAAGTTTAAATGTCTGATACATTTTTCAGAATTTTCATCTCAAGGTGAAGACAGGCTATGCTAATGCTTCCCTGTTTTTGTCTGTGTGAGTGTTTGGATGCCTTGAATGATTGCCTAATTAAGTAATCAGTTTTAATGGCCCGAAATCAGCAGAATTATTAGGTGTATTTGAAACAATTGCAGGCTTTTATGTGTTGAACTTTCTGGTTTGTTCTTAGAACCTTGGTTTAATAGCAATGTTTTAGCTTTGATCAATATCTTCTAGAATAGAAATTTCATACACTACTTTTATAAAGTACCACATTCATTGTTATAGAGCTAATAAATTTAATTACCAGGAATTTAAATTGATTTGTAAATTTTCGAATGGGAGAAATTGTTCTGCAGACATTTGTGGAAATACTATGTTACTGATCAATAAGACTTGATTAATAAGCATACCTGACTTTCTTTGAGTCATTGATAAATTAAAAGAAACAAATAGTACAGAAAAAGATAGTTTTTCCCTCATTTGAAAATCTTTATATTGTGTATTTCTTTTGAGATTATATAAAAGACAATGTTTTATTAATAAGTTGAGCTTAGAAATCATTTTTGGGGGTATCATATAAAAGATTGCAAGTCTAACAATTCTTATACATATATAAACAAGGATTAAACCAACTTTTTTTTTTTTAAAGACTGAAAACACATGGCCTGTTTAGCAATAATTTTTCATGGTTGAATTTTGTCATTTTCTTCCTTTTTTTTACCAATTTTGAATTTTTAAAATAAACTTCTTAAATGTAACTTCTGGCAGAAACTCAAGGATAGCTGCTTTGGCATAACTGCTAGTTGCTGATCCTTTTGATATTTCTGATGCTATGTAAATTACAGTTATGTTTGTGGGATCATTAGTGAAGGAAATGCAGATAATAGAAATAAGAATGGCCAAAAATACGTTCAAAATAAATTGAGTTGGTGAGTTTGAAGCAAGTGAAAGGCAGGTGGTTATGCTAAGTTTCCTCCGGGTAACAATGCAGGTGCCTGCTCAGCTCTGCCTGAGGTCAGAGCATCCCTGAGGTACCTGTTGCCCTTCACTGAGACTGAGAGGCAGAGAAGACAGGTGATGGAAAGCCATCAAAACGTGAGATATCATATGGCGTTTTCTGTTAATAATATTTACACATTTTATGCAATAAATCTGCTTGTTGTCTCATTATTTGAATATTGACACTTTACTTAACATTGCATATGGTGGGCTGTTGTTTCAGGGTATTAGCAGAGGCAGTAAATTCAAAGAAGAATCTCAATTCAGATGGATTTATGTTAAATATGTATAAATGGATATGTTTGCTCATATTTAGCTACCATGACTTTTGCAAAGCATTTATAGTATCACTGCTTCCAATCATTTTTTAAA